TCCACTTAGCAATACAAAGTAAAATATTTCCTATCAGTTTTTAAAAAAGGGGTTTTAATACAATTTAGAAATAGGTAATCAATTTTCCCCAAACACTAAATATTTTGATTAAAGCAAAACTTCAATATTTTCCAATTATCACAATGCAATGTGTGATATTTATATTTCTTACAAGGACCAACTTCTTCATCTCTATTAAGTCTTATCAGCATCTTTTAACTCACTGACACCAAAAATAGGGATAAAAGATACATTTTTAAAAAGACATACTTATGCATGTATATGTATATATATGAATTTATATATGTATACATATGCATGTATATATATACACACACACATACATGCTTTGTTTTATTTAATCTACTGAACATTAAATAGGTATATTATTTTTTCATAGAATCTTTATTATAATGTATTTAAAATGAAAATTTCTAAGCTTTAGAAACACAAAGTTGTCTAGACATTATATATAATAGACAAAATGAAATAATTTTTTTAAAAAGATTTATTTATTTATACAAGATCTGGGTATAGGCCAGAAGCACGGGAGGGTGAGAGGATCCACCAGAGACAGAGCGGGGAACAGAATAGGCAGAGTGACGAAATACACTGCTGAGGGGAGCAGCAGATGAGACAGCAGAGGTCTGCTAGCCATGTGGGCATCTCTGCAGCTGGCGGGGATCGAACTGGCACTGCAGTGACTGTGGACAGCTTCACAGCGCTGCATTCAACCACCTGCGCCACCAGGGAGGCCCCAAAATGAAATAATATGTTTTAAGGACTGTATGATAGTTAAAGAATTAAAGAATGCTACAATCCATTTAAACAGAGTCAGCCATAACTTCAAGTATCACAGTTATATTTATGGTTATATGTAAACAAACACATATATACACATGCATACATATGTGTATATATATATAGTATGCATGTGTAAATATATGTGTGTGTATATATATATGTGTGTGTGTGTATGTATGAAGACCCAATTACACACTACCTATAAATGATAGGCAGACCTTATGTATAAAGGTATAGGTTGGGAGTAATGGATGGAAAAAAACAAACCATGGAAAATCATCCTGAGGAGCAAGAATTTTATTAGGGATAGAGACACATTTATAATGCTGAATGTGGTGATTTACCAATTTTAAATGAGTGTTTAGCTTAATGAGTGTTTGAAATAAAAAAAAAAGAGAGAAAAAAAGAATTAAAGGGAGACATAGATGGTTCCATTTTCTAAAGGGTTACAGACATTCAAGTTTAGTCATCCACAGAACTGTTAGTCAGAAATTTAGTGAAAACAGATCATCTGAAAAAAATATTATCAAGGACCTTGATCCTGGGGATCTATATCATATATAGACATCCAACCTAGCATTAGGGATCTTGAGCTTAAAGGGGTAAGATATTAAAAGATTACCTATAAATAGTAGTACAAATATTAGTTAATGAAGTTCTATGCCTGCACTAAGTAAACTTTGTTTGATTTTGCTTTAAATTAAGCAATATCAGATATTGTTCCAAATGGTCTTGAATTTCTCATCCTGAAGCTGCCTGATGTCTATATAGTGAATTATTATGAATAAATGGAATGCTATTTAGAAGTTCTGGTCTGTCATCAAAGAGAAAAGGGAGTTTGTAGGTCAATTATAAGCCAAATGGCTTTTTCATAGCCTAAAATATAACCATGATACTTGAAGTTATGGCTGCCTCTATGTTTAAATGGATTATAACATTCTTTAATTCATTCTTAACTGTCATACCATCCTTAAAACATATAATTCATTTTGTCTATTATATATAATATCTAGGCAACTTTGTGTTCCTGAAGATTAGAAATTTATTTTAAATACATAATATATTAAATACATTAGAATATGAAAACGAATATACCTACCTTAATGTTTAATAGATTAAATAAAACATTAAATTGGTGGATTCCTGGCAAAGTTTAAAGGTGAGCTTGAAGGAATTATTTATCTTTATAAAAGATAGAACTTATGTCGAACTTACACTCTGACTAAACAGAGGAGACACTTGTTGAAAAAATACCTTTTATTTCCACAGCCATGAAGATACTTGAACAATAGCAATAAAACACTAATAAGTTTATTTCATATTTTAAGTCATGATATGAGACATAACTGAAAGAGTACTAGCTGGTAGAATGTAAACACATATATACCTTAAACGTGTCTGTGTGTGTGCATGAGAGACAGTAATTTCTCTTTGCAGATAAGTTTTAAAGTGCAAGCTCATGATAACCTATTGATATCATTTTACTTTTATCAGTTTTCCCAGCTCTTTAAAACATACCACACAAAAGTAAATTTCTATTTTTCTTTTTGGAGATTTCTGTTTGGATAGATTTGCTATTGTTAATCTCCCAATCATGTTAACTTGCTAGACTTAGCAACTCCAGGAGAGGAGAGGACAGTGTCTTTTTAATGAAGAGAAGCATTATCAAAAAGACATAGTGGAACAAAGCAGTTTTCTTTCATGACTTCATTCTGAGTTTGCACCACATCCTCACTGTGGGAGAGCCACAGGAGTTTCTCCCTCTGGTGCATGACATCAAGATGAAGTGTCAGATATTGTGTGTACTGAATAATGGATAATGAGAATCCCCTGACATAGGTTTGATGGCCATAAAATATGAGTTGTGTGATGGCCTAAACATTCAAACATGGGGACTGAGAAAATATTATTTCCAAATGCCAAGCTAACTAAAATTGTGGAGAATTTAAGTAGGTGCCTCTCTTATTAGTGTTGGAAGCAATTACAGACAGAATGGGTCAGTGCAATTTTTCTCCTATGCTGGGAAAATCTTTTCTTGCTATTGCATTGTAGTTATTCAAATTCAAATCAGGACCCTCATCACACATGTTGTGTTTGTGAGAGGCACTGAGAATCAGTAGCACCTCTCCCCCCGCCTATCAAAATGTGTTTCCCATGAAGAGGTCAGTGCACTTCATTGGAAATAATATGGTGTTAAATCAACAGGTAGAATCAAATTATTTTTTGCTTTCTGAGAATTGTTTGAATTATTGCCAGCTTATATAATCAAATATATTCCTTTTATTTCTCTCTGATGTAATATTGCATGGAAAATCAGACAACGAATAAGAACACTGCATATATTAGCTCTCTCAATAATGAACAAATACTCAATGAATTCAGCAATACTGTGATTATTGTGTTCCATAAAATCAGATTAAGTAAAATAGGAGAACTCAGATTGGGGAGGGAGAAGGAATATACATAAAGAGGAGTCTGATAATTCTAAGTTATTGGTTTGATTGAAAATTCTTTTCTTGTTTTATAGTCATATTGATATAGTCACAAAGCTTTATCTATGAATGTTGAGGGAATAGAAGGTAATGTGACAAGATAATTGGCAGAAGTATAAAGAAAAATTGACATGATATTCTTATGGAAAAAGCAGATGACAAAATGTATTGACTCTCTTTTTATAATAATTATTAAAACAAATAACCCAATCAAAAAAAATGGGCAGAATTGCTAACCAGATGCAGCTAACCAGAAAACATACAAACACCCAACAGGCACATAAAAAAGTGCTCATCATTACTTATCAGAGGGCAATGCAAATCAAAACCACAATGAGATACCACCTGACTACTGTGAGATTGGCCCATAACAATAAAGACCAGAAACAAAAGTCAGTGAGGGTGTGGAGAAAAAGGAACACTTGTACACTGTTGGTAGGAATGCAGACTGAGCCAAACCTTATGGAACACAGTATGGAGGTTTCTTAAACTATTAAAAATACGTATATTTTATAAGCCACCAGTTTGATTCCCAGGTTTTTAACACAAAGAATGCAAACACATTAATTTGAAGGGATATACACATTCCTATGTTCACTGCAACAATATTAACCATAGCCAAGCTATTGAAACAATCTAATTTCCTTGGACAGAAGATGGGTTAGAGAAATGGAACACTACTCAGCTGTAAAACAGATGAACTCTTGACATATGTGACAACATGGATGGAACTGGAGTGGGTACTCTTCAGTGAAAAAAGTCAGAAAGCTAAAGCCAAATATTGGATGGCTCCACATATGTGGAATATAAAGAAACAAAACAAAGGTCAGACAAAATCAAAGCAATAATAAATCCTAGCTATCTGACTGGAATTGCGAATGCATGAAGTGGAACGGGGAAACACAGGAGAGAGGGCACAATGAGCTCTTGTGGAAGACAGTGGGTGTCTTGGTGGGGAGTGTGGCACGCTGACATGCACCTGAGCTGTGATCCTGTACCTCTGTATATCACATGCAGTATTATAAACCAGTACCTCAATTAAAAATACATGAGAATAAATTTTAAAATTATAAGAGAGGGTAATTATTACAAGTGGAAGTTTTCATTGAGCAATGGAAAAAGAGAAATGATCCAAGGCACCTTTTGTATCCTTAAGCCACATAAGAAAAGGCACATACCAGGGTGTCCACCACTGCACATTTTTCTAGATATAACTCTCCAAATTCAAAATCCAGAGAGGAAAAATATGTGTAAATATATATGATTATGTATGTATGACAGATTAAAGAGAGAACTATTTTAAGAATATATGCTTCCAACTGAAATAAAATTTCAAAAATACTTTTTTTTGTATCTATTGATATGATCATATGTGTTTTTATCCTGCCTTTAGTCGAAATGATTTGCAAACACTGGACCATCTTTGCATCCCTGGAATAAATCCTACTTGGTCCTGATGTGTGATCATTTTGATGTACTGTTGAATTCGGTTTGCTAAGATTTTTTAAGGATCTATTTTCATTTGAACTATTGGTCTATAGTTTTTTCTCTTTGAGACACACTTATTTTGAATCTGCTATCAGGACAATTTTTTTGGAAGCGTTTGAGAAGGGTAGGCACTAGGTGTTCCTTGAAAGAAAATAATTTAAAATAAAGCAGTCCAAGGCATTACCTTATTAATAGAATAAAATCACAGCTACTCACCTAACCTCTCAATGGAATAGTAGCGCTGCTTACTGTCCACGCGCACTGTCTCTGCATAAGGGCTCCCAACGCCGTAACCAATTATGTAACCTCGGACCACAATATTTGGGTTCAAGGGAGGAGTCCAGCTCATGATGATGCAGTTGGTCTGGGGCCTCACATGAAGGGAACTTGGCTGGTCAGGGACTTGAGATTCTAGAAATCAAAGAGAGGCATCATCAGCATATCTTAGGGTAGAATATGTAGCACAGGAAAGCGTCCCATTAAATAAGGCTTCACATTATATTCCATGCATTTTGATATGGCGCATCATTTATCCAAATTCTTCCTTGTTTCAGCTGTTTCAGCGCGTGATATATTGTCCATATTTGATTTAAATTTCACAGAATATTGTTTTTTAAAAAAGGATATATTTATGCCTATAAAAACTGGGGTACAGGTCAGAGGTGTGGGGAGTGTGTGTGAGAGGTTTCACCAGAGACAGAGCAGGGAACAGAACAGGTGGTTTGACTGAAATACACTGCTGAGGGGAGCAGCAGGAGAGATAAGAGAGGTCTGCAGTGCTACATGGGTCAGCTCCCTGGTGGGGGATCTAACTTGTGCTGCAGTGGCTGCAGAGAGCTTCACAAGGGGTGCTCCACCAGGGAGGCCCATCACAGAATATCTTAAGCACAACAGGTCACTGAACTCCTCCATAGGTACTAAAGCATAGGTACTGTCTTTAATCTGCTAGTGTCTTCCTTGGGCTAATTTTTTTTATACAATTTCTCATTAGGAATCATGAATATAAGGTAAAATCAAGGCAGACATATGAATAGAGAAAGCAATGAACTGTCAACAATTGTCTTGCCCAAGGATTCTTTTTTTTTAAGATTTATTTATTTATTTATACAAGAACCGGGGTACAGGCCAGATGCACAAGAGGGTGAGAGGTCTCACCAGACACAGAGCGGGGAGCAGAACAGGCAGAAGGACCGAAGACACTGCTGAGGGGAGCAGGGGCAGGACAGGAGAGGTCTGCCGCGCCATGTGGGTCCTCGCCGGCCGGCCGGTATTGAACCGGCGCTGCACCGGTGCTGCAGAGGCTGCGGACAGCTTCACAGCATGGTGCTCAACCGCCTGTGCCACCAGGGTAGTCCCCCAAGGATTCTTTTCTCAGATATAACTAGTAATAATAGCAACAACAGTAAGAGACTGCAGTATTCCTTTATTAAGAAATTATCAGGAGGAAGAGTTTAGGGCCATGGTTTTCTCAGCATAATTAGGGTAATACTAGACCCATGATTTACTGTATCTGCAAAAACTCCATTTTTAACAGAGAGAGTGGCCTGGATTAAAGCCACACAGGTTTTGGAGTGTTCGAATTTGTGTAATATTAAACTGTCACTTACTAGCTGTGTGTCCTCATAAAATTATTTATCTTCTCTTAATTTTATCTAATTAAACTGGCATTCCAAATATTGATTGACTTAAACATGGAGCTCTGGAAATAAGAGTTTGTGTTCATACTACTTCTCACTAGCTGAGACCTTAAGATCTTATCATTCTAGCCTCAGTTTCCTGATGTGCAGGATGAGGATAAGGACACAATAATGAACTCATATAGGACTAAGCAGATTTAAAGAGAGAATGCACAAAACACTTGCGTTGTTTATAGCACGTAAGTTTCCAACTGATTATAGCTGTTAGGGAGAATGTATACACCATCTTCACATACATTTCATACATTTTCTTTTAAAGATGTTTGTTGAAAGTTAATAACATGGTGATACATTATTATTCATCATTATGATCCCATCCCCAAAGAAAAATGTTGTGGACACTGATCATTCAATTAATAAATATTTATAGCATCTAACTATGTTTGGGGTATGGGCAATATTCCTATGATGATTAGGACCCTGGAGAAAATGAATATGGCAACATAAAACCTGCATTCTTGGAGTTTAGAGTTTCATAGGAAAGACAGACATGCAAAAAGGCATAAAGGCAGTTACGGTATATGATGATAAATATTTTGGTAGGTCAATATAGGCAAAAGTAGCCCATTTTTGAAAATTAAGGGTGTGTTCTGGGAATAAATCCAAGAAAGAACACACTCATCTAACCTTTCATAGTCCATTAAGTGCTTAGCACTGTTCCTGCCAATTAATAAGTATTCAAAAATCTAGAGATTTGAAACTTATTCAAAAATTTTGTGTTCATTATTTTTTTCCTAACTGAATATCTCAAAAGGAAATCCATGTTAAATTATGCAAGAAAATTTGATGACTAAAGTTAGTATTGCAATACATTTTTCCACTGGTTGTACTGCCACAGGTGATACAATCTCCACCATCAATTCTATCTACATGCTTGACATATACACATACACGTACATGCATATAAAATATAGAAAGATGGATAGATAGATCAAGAGAAAGAGAGAGAGAGAGAGAGAGAGAGAGAGAGAGAGAGAGAGAGTCAGTCAAGTGATATATTGAAGCATGTCTTTTATTAAAGATCTGTAAGGAGTTGCCATACATTTTCAAAAGAAGCTACATTCTGGGGACTCCCCTGGTGGTACAAGCAGTTGAGCGCCACTCTGTGAAGCTGTCCACAGCCTCTGCAGCACCGGTTCGTTACCAGCCAGTGGGTAGACGATGGTCCCACATAGAGCAGCAGACCTCTCCTGTCTCGCCCGCTGCTCCCCTCAGCAGTGTGTTTCGTCAGTCTACCTGTTCTGTTCCCTGCTCTGTCTCTGGTGAATCCTCTCACCCTCCCGCACATCTGGCCTGTACCCCGGTTCTTGGCTAAATAAATCTTTTTTTAAAAAGAAGCTACATTCTAAAGCTAGTACATCAACAGCATTTTCTAAAGATGCTTTTATTCCTCAAGATGCCCACTTATGGGCAAAATGGGACATGCTATTATTTGCCTGCTCTGAAAACCTATAATATACAAAGACCCATAAAATTATCTCAAAATATGGCTATGAACTATAACAACAGAAATAAAGTACTTGTAAAGGATTTCCTACTGGCATCAGTAAGTAAAAGTAATAAAGAAGATGAAAGACAGATGTATACTTTCCAACCTCATTGCCATGGAGGCTCTTACATCCTTGAAATGGAAGAGGATCTACAATGAATTCAGTTCAACAAGTTTGAAGCTTTTGCAATAATTATTGAAAGAACAAGATAATCCACCTGATCGATTTAGAAAATGAACTAAATACTATTTGGATTTTCTGCATGTATGACTTTTAAAAACAATCTGAAAGTATAATGATTTGGGTGACAATGTTTAACATCTTGTAGAATAAAATGAAAACTCTTTAAAATATTTTCAGAATGAAAAAGAGAAAGGTTTTGAGAACAATAACCATTTCTCCATCTTTTCATGTAACAATGTGGTAGCTCCCCTACATATTAGTTACTACCCATATAATGACATTCATCTGGGCTTTAAGGCAACAGTAGCAAGGGTGGCACAAATCAACTCTGATGAAGATGGACTGTTAGTACCATAGATGCATCTCTATTCCTCACTGCATAAAAGTAATTTTAATCCTAGATCCAAATCTCGAAATATTTTTTTAATATTGTAAAGAACAAAGATCTTAATACTTAAGGATACATACTGCCTCCCATATAATATCTAATGGGTTTTTACTACTCAATTACTATCACAGGCCCAAAAGGAAGGGTGCCTATCAAGGTAGGATTATACTTAAGACACTCATAATATATGACTTCGTCATAAAGATAACTATGTTGAAGAGTCTTCCTAATCTGGAATAGTGCATTTGTGTCAACGCACTTGCTTCTTAATATAAAGACAGAAATGACAGTTTTCATTTAGATTGAGTGAGTTTTCTGTAACATGGATGGTCTTGTGGATTATGAAAGTGGTTACTACTGGAATGAACTATTAAACCCCAATTTAGAAAATTTTCTGTAGAAGGAAGTGATATGGTACTCTTTGTTTGCAGGCTAAAACTGAAAATCACTATTCAGAAATACATGAAGATTTAACAAGTACCTCTAGGACACTGATTGCATATATAAAGCACAGGGAAGTATTAAGGTAATTGTTAAGATAATTTGAAACCCAAGAACACATTTTGCCTGAAATATCCAAATTAATGAGGCCTAAAATTTCAACTGGAGTCTGAATTATCAAGATAACTAGGTCAACTGCCATTCTTGATTATACTATGGAATTATGGTTCATGTCTTGGTTTAATTTGGTTCCAAAGAACATTATTATTCTTTGAGTGATGATTACAGATTTCTGCTAATGAGTAATGTCCATATACAGCACAGACTAAGAGATGCAACAGATTAATTCCTGGGATATTTTAACAATTATTCTGAATCTTTTATGTGCCACTGGGGCATTGGGGATAAAATACCAAGGACAAAACACCAAGAAATAGTAATAAACAAACTAGGAAACCATGAGGTCTTGGCAAGTGCTGTGCTGATGAGATACTAACAGATTTGCCAATGAAAGCATCCCTGGTAGAGTCTAAGAGGAATGAAAACAGAGCCAGTGAAGCAAGGCTCAGGCTGGAAAGCTTTAGAGACCAAGGAAATAACTAATGCAAAGCCCTAGAGCAAGAATGAGTGTTGCATTTGAAGAAACAAAAGGTGTTCATTGTACTTAGAGCAAAGGAGAGAAGGAATATGAAGATGAAAAGGGAGTCACCCAGTAGGAATGAAAAATGGTAGAGTTGGGATGGAGCATGGCATTTCCAGAAAAAAAAAAGTAAAAATAGAATTACTGTATGATCTAACAATTCCACATTAGGGCATAATTCCCAGATTAAAGTATAGAAAAGAGACACACACAGATCATGTTATTGCTGTGCTCAAAATCCCCTCAAGTCTTCCCACACCACATTGGAAGGTGAGTTCTTCATAATGACTTAAAAGGTTAAGTATAATCTACCCTGCTCCCCTCTGAGCTCTGTCTTCTTTTCCTGCCATATTCCTCTTTGTTCACCTCACCCAGGGACTCATTCCACACTGGGTACTTGGCTGTTCCCTGAACTCACCCAGCATGTGGCCCAGGCATTTGCATTAGCTGTACCCTCTGCCTAGGAAGTCCCCCTCAGAAATGCCTTCCTCCCCTATCTCCTTCAGTTTTTTGTTATTTAATTTTCATTTTTAGCCTTCCTTCCCTGGCTACCATATCTAAATTTGGAAACC